AAAATCGGTTTGACAGTTCATTGGGGCTCTGTAAATCGGTTGTTGACTGCTGAAAAAAAAAAACGATTTGTTAATAAATTGACAATTACACAACGATTTTTAGCCGTTAAATTTGTTAAGAATTTGAATGAAACCGTTACCCAGGCTTAAAGCGAAAACTTAATTTATGTCATTTCATAATTACTTGTTGGTGGACAGTTATCAGTTTGTTATTTATTTAAATGATATGCCCTGTCTCAGAACCTACAAGAATTTACTATTTTTGCAATTTTTTCGATATTAAAAAGGAAAAATCGGTTATCGTAGTAAAAACGTTTACATTCTTGCAGTTCTGGAACAGAGCAATAGTTTGAAAACAAAACTGGTAGTCAAAAAGAAAAATGGAAGCATTAATATCAATTCTGACCAAAGACAGGATGAGATAAAAAACATGCAACAAAGTCAAACGATATAATTTTTAATTTTTTTTTTTAAATTTTATTGAATGAAAGCAAAAACTGTTGGAACTATCATCACATTTTAGAATGAGTTTAAATTTGTTCGAATTAGTTACCTTTGGCACGGATTATGGCCTTCAAACGGCCAATGAAACCTACACACGCTGCCCGAATTTTGCTCTGCGGTATTTTGGTCCATTCCCGTCAAAGCGCTTGCTTGAGATGATCGACACTTGGTATTTTATAGTGCCAACCTTGCTTTCCAAAATACTCCAGATACAATAGTCCAACAGATTGGTGTCCGGAGATTTTTGTGGTCATTGTAACCATGATGTTGGCGCGCGCTAAGTGCGATGGTGCTGACTGAGTCCTGTTGGAATGTCAAAGGTCTGCGGCCAAATGTTTGCATGCCCAGGCTTTAATACACCCTCCATAATATTTTCGCGATAATATTCGTCATTTATTCTGATTCCACGGTCGTTTAATTCGAGCGGAGAGCGGCCGTCGACTGTTATGGCAGTGTAAAGGATGCAACAGCCTATAACAGAAAATTGTCTATGCTGGTCCAGGTCTTCGCACAGCTCCGATATAACGATATGGTAATGACTTATGACAAACAATGCCGACGAATTGACGTGGACCTACATGTCGTATAGACACCAATGTAACGGCTATATTCCTTATTTTTAAAATTTTAACAGAATTTTTGAAGATTTTATTTCCAAATTCGTTCCAAATGGTGGAGGGTATTCAAAGTTCGGCCCGGCCAAACTTACGGCTTTTTAACTTGTTTCTTTCCGTTGCGGTGTAAGTTCTTGAATTTTTTGTAATTTCAATGACTTTACACCGAGCTCATTTTCCAACATTTGCCGAATGAAAAATTGCGATATGTTCAGTTCATGAGCCATATTTCGGCCACTGCGACGCGCGTTTCGATCAAGTCGCTTCTTTACTTTTCGAACCATTTCTGCTGATGTTGCTGTTTTTTTGCGTCCACTTCCTTGACGTCGGGCTACGCTACCAGTATCACGGTAACGAGCAATGATACGAGACACAATAATTTATTCACATTTAAATGCTGGACTGCTCTAACGATAGCCACTTGTGGTTTTCCAGCCAAATATAAAGAAATCACTCTATGACGCTTTAATTCCATCACGAATAATTTTTTTTTCTAGAAATTTCTCACCAAAATGCTTAAGTAAGTTTGTAAACAATTTAATGAGCTGTCACTGGAATAATTTTAACAGCTGTCAGACAAGTGGCCTAGAATTGACATCAGTCTGAAGTTGATTGCAGTTTTTTCATCTCACCCTGTATTTACTTATGACGAGTGCCAGATTTTACAACAATAATAAATAATCTCTCATTTTTGGCGTTCCTTGTCACGTAAAATCAGTTATACGTTTCATACCTTAGGAAGAGCCTGTTTATTTATCTGTTCTTAACTTGAGTACATAAAAAGCTTGAAGTCATGGCTAGGCATATTAATGTCAAATTATAATGGAAAACGACGGCATGATTTTAATGCGACTCTGTAATCCCTTTATGAAATGTCACAAAATATGCCTAGCCTTATGACTTCAATCTTCTTATGTACTTCCACCTTTAGGCTTAAACATATAAAGTTGGAGATTTCAAATCCTTCATCTTAAAGAGACGTTTTCGGTTATGCTAGTTCTTGTGTAAGCCTCGAATGACGTTTTACGTTAAGTCCGCCTTTAAGGATCAAAAACACAGAATTACAAGCTAAAAATTCCTCGCAATACCTGCTATATGGATTCTGTACTAAAACGAAAACTCACGCTCACAACATATGGTAATGAATTTAATGTCAATTCGGCTGAAAATCTGTCTATTGTCTTTATACTGTCCTAGGAGAAAAAAAATTCAACCATTCCATTTGTAAGTCTTTCTGCTTGTTTTCTGTTTTAGCGTGGTAGAAGAATACAAGCAGTCGCATCGACATAGCTTCTGGGACAATGAACTGTCAAACCGATTTTGGAATTGAAAATGTTGAATGAAAAATTATTAAAATTTGTAAAAATTGTTGCAAAATTCATATTATAACAATTCATATTATGATTTGCATCGTATAAAAAAACATTTAAAATCCACTTATTTTTCATAAAACATTTTCAAAGTTTTGAAATATCAATGTTCCCAAATGATGCATCTACCTATATTCTTGTACCATGTGTTTTAGTTAATATTCTTCGTTGACTTTTATACCCTCAACAAGTTAAAAAGCAGTAAGTTCGGCCGGGCCGAACTTTTAATACCCTCCACCATTTACAACGAATTTGGAAATTTAAAAAAAATAAAATCCTTAAAAAATTCTGTTAAAATTTTAAAAATACCGAATATAGCCGTTATATTGGGGTCTATACGACGTGGACATACATATGCATTGTTTGTCATAAGCCATTACCATATTCAAATTCGAAACTGGACCCGCACCGACAATTTTCTGTCACAGACTGTAGTTCCCATAACGAACTTCAAATACCAAATTTTAAACAATTCCGGTAAATAATGTCGCTAAAATCATCAAAATACCGAACATAGCGAGGTGCCGTTATATGGGGGCTATACGAAGACGTGGACCTGCACAGACAATTTTCAGTCTTAGGGTGTAGTATCCATTTGGAACTTCAAATACCAAATTTGAAACAATTCCAGTGAATAATGTCGCTAAAATCATCAAAATACCGAATATCGGGAGGTACCGTTATATGGGGGCTATACGAAGACATAGACTTGCACAGACAATTTTCTATCTTAGGGTGTAGTATCCATTCGGAACTTTAAATACCAAATTTGAAACAATTCCGGTGAATATCGTCGCTAAAATCATCAAAATACCGAATATCCGGAGGTACCGTTATATGGGAGCTATATGAAAACGTGGACCTACATGGCCCATTTACGAACTTAACCTGCCTACTGGAAAAATAAACATGTGTGCAAAATTTTAGCCATCTATCTCAATTTATTCGAAAGATAGCGTGATTACAACAGACAGACAGACAGACGGACGGACATCGCTAAATCGACTTAGAATTTTACGCTGATCAAGAATATATATACTTTGTTGGGTCTGACATGAGTATTTCGAGGAGTTACAAACGGAATGACAAAGTTAATATACCCTCCATAGTATGGTGGAGGGTATAAAAAGGCATGAAATGCTAAATTCTTGCCGTACGCCCATATTTAAGGAAGAAATATAAAGTATATATATGACAATGAAGGGTTCATGGTAGTAGAATATAGGCCTGGCTCAATAAGAAAAGTTACTCAATCTCAAAGGATTGGAACTAGAAAAATGCAACTCTGTGCTGGAGACTTGTACCGCGAACAAGAATGGAATTTTGGAAATAACCTCAAGAATAACCCACAAGATTGAATCTAAAATAGTGGAACAACACAATTTTATCACAAAATTGTACAATTTGTTACCCATTTCGTAGAAAATTTGCATTTAATTTGTAACCAATTTTTAAATAAATTCAAATTATTGTATTTTTTATTCAAAACATTTCACACACACGTGTTTTTTGACAGAATAAGGCCACAAAAAGAAAAAAAAATTGTATATAGGGGGTAGCTTTGTTCTACCTTCTTTAATTATACCATGAATATAGGTAGATGCATGACTCAATAAGAAAGGTTGCTCAACTTCAAAGAAACTAGAAAAATGCAACTCTGTGCTGGAGTCTTATAGCTTCAAATAATATTTTAAATATGCACCAGTAGTCTCTGCTTATTTTTATTTTTTTTAACAAAAGTTTTATATTGTTACAAGAATGGAATTTCGGGGTTATTCCACAAGATGGAATCTTAAATAGTAGGACAATACAGTTTTATCACAAAATTGTACCATTTGTTGTCTATTCACCTCGAAAATTTGCATTTTTGTTGCAACCAAATTTGAAATAATTTCAGATTATTGTATTTTTTTATTCAAAACAATACGCACACACACACAAAGTGTGTATATGTTTTGACAAAATAAGGGCACAAGAAGAAAAAAATTGTATTTAAGGGGTAGCTTTGTACAACCTTCTGTAATTGTGCCATGGGCAGATGTATCAACGCTTGGGAACATTGATATGTCAATTTTTTTTTAATTTTTTTAAACAAGTAGATTTTTATACGTTTTGTTATACGACACCAAAAATTGAATACATTTTCATTTAAATTTTTAATTCTGGTTTGACAGTTCATTGTCCAAGCTGCTGTGTCGATCCGACTGCCTGTATTCTTCTACCATGGAAGGAACATAAAATAAAAAAAAAATAATCGTATGAAAGAATGAAATAACCTTTGTAACATGTCATGTTACAATCCGAACAAATTAATTTTTGAATTTTTTCAAAATTATAAGGAGAAAATCAGTTTCTTTACATAGTCTTTTTTATTTTGATTTCCCCTTGTTCTTGACAAAAAATAACATTTTTCCCTCAAACTCTGCCAACCACGCAAATGGCAACACTTCACACAAAAGTGCTGCCAATGTTCCACCCGCAAACATTTTCACAACAATCAGCTTTTGTTTGGCTGAATTACAAGAAAAAAATCATTTCAGCAGAAAAAAGAATTATTTTGATTCGGTCACATAAAAATGCTCAACAAATACAAAAAACATAAACAAACGCCAATCAATGGAAAACAAGTGCAAACCAATTACAACGTAATACAATAAAAACTGAAGTATTGGGAAAAATACAATTGGAAAGTGTGAAAAAATACTGGCAGCAAAAAACTATGATGCCAAAAGGCTTTGGTAGCAGCAAACACACACAACAAAAGACCAAAAAACGATGAAGACCAACTAAAAAAGCAAGCTCCGCCAGAAGAAAAAAAAATATGAAAAATACGTGTAAAAACAAGCAATAAAGAGATCAAAGCCAAGAAAATTATTAACAATAACAAGGAAGACAAAACAAAGTGAAGAAAGCGTTGAACGTGTTTAACTGTGTAAAGCTATTCCAAATTATTTTCTGGTGGTGGACAAACCAAAATTAAAGAAAAAGTTATCACAAATTCCATTGACTGGCTTGCAAAGTAATCAAATTTTTATTTTTGGGCCTGGACTCGAGAGTTCGTCATGGAAAGTATTTGTAGATTGTGTTTCCAACCGGCTGCGGTAAGTAATGTTTTCTTTTATCTATACGCTGAAAATTCAGCTATAAAATTTTTATTCCATATACAAGTTTTTCCATGGGACCAACGGGAGTTGGGTTAAAATAACAATTTGCGCGCGCCTTTTTATTGCCTTTGCAAAAATGTGTATTTTGTTGTTTTTATTGATTTTCGTTCTTCTTAGCGCTTGGGTTTTTTGCTGCTCCCCACCCAGTTAGATGTGAGATGTGTAAACCTCACACACAGCCAAAGAAGAATATCGAATAGATTTCATTTTGGGGGATTAGAGTTGATGGGCAGAAGAAAGGTTTGGATGGATGTAGGTATGTCGTCTTTTTCGTTTATTAGAAATAAGACTTGGAAGTTTCTCAAATTTTCAGTTGTAGTAGTTTTTGTATATAGACGCCTCAAAGTGCCCCACCAACAACAACATTCCGACAGCGGCGGCAGCAGGCAGCATCAGTACAAACACCCCAAAAAGAGGCGGGGATGTTACAAACTAAACTCTAATAAAAATAATAAGAAGAATGCTGCCATCAAGTAGGTGAAAACGCCAACGTCACAACAACAAAAACATCAGCATTGGGGTTGCCATTGTTGTTTTGGGAAAAAGGCTTAAAATTTTACACAAGCAATTGTCCACTTTGCGCGCGTAGAGTAGTTTTCTAAATTACACTCACACTCCGATTTATTTCCAATGCCGCTGCCAAACTTCTCGGCTCTTGTTTATGTTGAGTGCTCTCGTTGGTGGAGAAATGCATTGCTGTTGACGTCAACGTCCATGCCATTAATATACTGTCAACTACACACAATCACAATAGCTAAAATAATTATTCAGGAGAAAATAGAGAGAGAGGAAATTAAATGAGAGAGACTATCAAAAAGTAGGAGAATGGGTGGCGATGGTATGTAATAAATTTTGTTAGGATGCCGCCACGACATCTGCTGCTGCTTTTCATTGCATTGTTGCTGCTGCTGCTGTTGCTTCTAACTTCCACTGTATGTCAAATAATTTGTTTTCTTTAGAGGCGTTGTGTGTGTGCGTTTAGTGGGAGTGGGAGTTGGGTGAGAGTGAGTGTGCGATTTGTCAAAAGGGTTGGCTAAACGCGCAAAATGGTAATGCTCTTTGTAGAGGATTTGAAATTAAATTTGCGTTTTTTTTAAACGCGCGATTTTATTTGATTGGAATTTTTAAAGAAAATTATAATAAAGTTACAAAAATACTACAAAGGGCAAATAAATATAGGATAATTCTGTCCCTCAGATCTTATAGTTGTTGTTTCCATGACGATGAAATGAAATGAAAAAAAAATCCATTTGCCAGAAAAATAAACCGATTTGGAAATCAGAAGCGTTTGCTTTGTAATGTAGCTGGAATCTGTAATCAACGCTTTCTAATTGAGGAAATTTTACAAATTTGCGAGAATTATTATTTTCAAAAAATATCGAAATATTAATCAAATGTTATTTATTGTCTTGTATTTAAAAGATCTTGTTTGCAATTTACAAACAAATTAGCTGTAATGTAATATTTTGGATTCCCTTTGGGACTTTGTTGTAAGAGCTACACATATTTTGTGTTTGATTTCTGCTAATCTGGTTCTAAATCCAGGTTCAAAAATTCGGCGATTTTCGCGGACTGTAACCAAAGATATTCTGGAGTGATTGGGGAGGTTTGGCATGGCTATTAAAGAAGTGCAGAAGTTACGCACATCTTTATCAATTCATGACAAATACGAATTTAGACGATTGCGCCATCCTGAACTTAATTACGCCAAAACTATCCTAGACAGCCGACGTCCTTCAGCTGCAATGGATGGGGTCGACCTCGAGGACGGTATTCATACTGTAATTGTTAATGGCATCTGCGACTACATCATTATGAATGCTTCTTAGACCTGGCTGATAAGTTTATTTATCTAGAGACTTTTTCTTATAGCCTTGGAATTCCCTCTCTATACCGTGTATGTCCTTCGTAAAACGCCAAGGGGGTAATTTTTTACACCATATGATGGTTTGGATGACTGCCACGATAACACAGGGTGTGCAACGAAAGCATATGGTTATGGCGGCATGCGGGAAGGACCAGGACCTTCGCTTCCTCATGTAGATGGTCCAATGGTGTCATGAGGAAGCACCCTATGGCAGTTCTCAGGGTAGCATTTTGGCAGGTATGGATGTTTTTCCACTGCGTGGCACTTGTATTCGCAGAGCACTTTGGTGTTCCAAAGTTGAACAACCTATCGCATTATAAGAGGTCAACAAGTACTCCTTGTCCGCACCCAAGTGTTGTCGGCTAGCGTCTTGGGGGCCTTATTTCTACTTTTTATTTCGTTGCTGATAGGTGTTGTTTGCGCGGAACAAATGCTGCCGAATGTAACCCCTAGGATTTTCGCTTGGAATTAAACTTCCTTTGACCTGCACCTTCAGCTCTGTTCTTATTTCAGTAGACAACGTGGCCGTTGCTTTAGTGGCGGATATTATCACATTCCTCACGCGGAAGTAGAGGGAAGCTCCGTGAGGTTGGTGTTCAATGTTACACATATGTCACATATGTCAAGAGATAGGCATACATTACAATATTCATTCTGTAGGGCGATAAATTCCTGTAGGGTAGAGGTTAAATAGTTCCGGAGATATCACCCCGCCATATAAAGTCACTGTTTTCACTCTACGGGGTTTGGACATCCGCACTTATATCACAATTTTTCAAATTTGGCCGTTCTGTCTACAAAGCAAAAAAAGGTAGGAAATAGCATCAAATTTTAGAACAGGTTTAGATTTGTTCGAATTGGTCACCTTTGACACGAATTATTGCCTTCAAACTGCCAATGAAACCGTCACACGCTGCCCGAATGGTGCTCTGCGGTATTTGGACCATTCTGGCAAAGCGTTTGCTTGAGGTGATCGGCACTTTGGTATTTTTTAGTGCCAACCTTGCTTTCGAAAATACTCCAGACACAATAGTCCAACTGATTGGTATCCGGAGATTTTGGTGGTCATTGTGCGCTGGAAATGAAGCGAGAAGTGCGATGGTGCTAAGTCCTGTTGGAATGTCCAAGGTCTTCGGCCAAAATGTTTGCGTGCCCAAGGGTTTAATACACCCTGCAGAATATTTTCGCATTTATTCTGATGCCACGGTCGATTAATATGAGCGGAGAGCGACTATCGGCTGTTATGTCGTGGCTAACCGAACATTTTCAGCTGATCTCTTTGGGAAGTAAACACTATCATTTTTTCTTTACAAACTGCTGGACAACCACTGTTTTCATCTGAGAAAACCAAATTCGGAGTTCACCACTTACGGCCAAGCGAAGCAACTCTTTAGCTCTTTTGAGTCTATTTTCTTTCTTTTGTGGTGTAAGTTCTTGCACTTTTTGGAATTTCAATTGCTTCAATGGGCTTGGGTCATTTTTCAATATTTGCCGAATGGAATATTGCAATAGGTTCAGCTCACGAGCCATTTTTCGGCCACTGCGACGCCGGTTTCGATCAAGTCGCTTCTTTACTTTTCGAACCATTTCTGCTGATGTTGCTGTTTTCTTCCGTCCACTTCCTTGACGTCGGGCTACGCTACCAGTATCACGGTAACGAGCGAGACACAAACGATGTATTCACATTTAAATGCTGGAGTGCTCTAACGATAGCCACTTGTGGGTTTCCAGCCAAATATAAAGAAATCACACTATCACGCTTGAAGTCCATCAGGAATAACATTTTTTCTTGAAAATTCTCACCAAAATGCTTTTGTACGCTTGTAAACAAAATGATGAGCTGTCACTGGAATAATTTTAACAACTGTCGGACGGGTGGCTTAGAAATGACAGCAGTCTAAAGTTGGTTGCAGTCTTTTCAATTCACCCGTATTTATTAATTTTAAATTCTATTGCTATTTTTAATTAGTTTCAATGAAAAAGGACCACCAATCCCAATCAGCTTCCTTAGTTTCTGTTCGGAGATCGTTTACTTTTGCCCCACCTTGTACATGCATATGTACTTAACAGGCATTCCAATGTTTTTTGGCTGAAATAAAGACATTAGGGGCCTATCGTAAAATTTATACCATTTTCTGATAGGAGGATTACTTTTGCGCCACCTTGTATTTGTGTTACATTTTTTTCCTTATTATGCCCTACACCACACTGTGGTCAGGGAATTATGTCTTGGTGCATTTGTTTGTAACATGGAGAAGGAAGCGAGTAGACCCATAGTTCCTTTTGATGATCTGCATAGAATCACATTCTGAGTCGATTTATGCATGTCCGCCCATCCATCCGTCTGTCCATGTATTTTTGTAAACAAAGTAATATTCGCATTCATTGTTCGATCAAGATGAACTTTTACAAAAATTATTTTTTTGGCCCAAGAACGAACCCAATTGAAATTGGAGATAATCGGTCGAAATTTAGATAAAGCTCCCGTCCGATTTGCCTTTTATTGTGCACGCAATGTGTAATAATAGTCCAAATCGGAACATCGGTTAAAATATAGCTATAGGTCCCATACATATGTTTCATCCGATTTTATATTTAAGTCCCTCACACCACTAAAATGTTCCTCACAACAACGATATTTGGTGCCAGCTATCAGATGTATAGAAATAAATCTGCTAATTTTTATAGAGATCGGTTCAGATTTGAATATAGCTCCCATATATATCTTCATTCGAATTCACGTTTATTGTGTCTCAAAAAAGAAGGATTTTTATGAATATCGATTTAGTCTGTCAAATTTAGTGAAAATCGATTAAGAGCAGAATATACTACCATATTCCTTTCGGCTTTAAAATATATCTGCTTCAAATCCATAATACGCACTCATAAAGGATCATATTTCTCCATAACAACGTTTTTTTTTATGGGTAGCTCGACTAAATTTACAAATTGGTGTAGGGTATCATAAAGTCGGCCCGTCTGACCCTTGACCCTTTCCTTACTGGTTTTTATTATAGCTGTTGTTATTATTATTAATATTATAATTTTATAAATTTACTATTAAAAAATT